TGAGCAGACTGCATGTGCATGCGTCTGTGTTATATTACACACGAACAGGGGAAGAAAGTGGTGCTTTCTGTATGCAGGTTTTGTGTGGAAGCTCACTGGATGCTGGGCCTTGACCAGTGCAGCAGAAGGGATCTGCCAGGTGTGCTGTGGTCGCCTGTGGGGACAATGGCAGGTTAGTTACTGAAGACACGTCTATGGGATCTAGGGCGCTACAAACACTTTATTGATGTGGCTATCCATTTTTCTCTTGTTTTCAGACAGACCCAGTGTCAACTTGGTATAAAGAGACCAGGATACTAGCTGATGGAAGGATATTTCTTAATGTGGAGCATAGGGGTATTATCAGTGTCGTTCCTCCTGTGTGTTTTGCGGAGATAACCCCTTGTGTGGGCCAGGGCAGGTTCTTCTTTCCCACTCCTTCGTGCCATGGTGGGTGTAGAGTGGGTCGTGCAGAACGCCTGCACCCACACAGGGATATTCATGTACCAGTGCGGAGCTTTTAGCATACTTAGACAATTCTTTGCTTGTCAAAACGCCTTTCCCTATGTTAATTGTACGGCACAAGGTGTAGGCATTGATCAGCTGTGCCGGGCAGCACGTGAATACACGGTGTGGTCCCTGCCCAAACGGCTTGAGCGGTGGTGATAAGGAGAGGGACAATGCATGGGCACGGACTGGCAGGCCCTGTGAGGGAGAGGGAGGAGCAGTGCCTCCACGAGATGGGAATAAATCCTGCGGAATGAAGGTGTAGGCTGAGCCCGATTATACAGGGAGCAGAGATTACGTGGCAGACAGTAAAGAAGAGAAAAACTGCAGAGAGGTAGTGCAGGGTACTTTGTCCACTGATTCTAGAGGACATGAACCCCACAGAAGACTCAGATTCCCTCCTGGACTTGTGAAATGCGTAAGCTTTGTGTAGAAATAACTCCTGTGAATGTAAAGCTGCTTACAAAGGAAGATTTCCATTGGGTTTTAACTAAATAAAGTAGGGAAAAAGTGATACAAGAGAGGAAGAACAATGGCCACTTTTTTTAAGTTTAATCAAATCTGTGTATTTTTGTCAGTTAGAAAATTTATTGCTAACATTAAGATTTCCTTCTGAAATCCTTAGAAGTGGTTTTGGGTCCAAAACCACCTGTGAAATGGCTATTACTAACAATTAAACTCATTTAAACATTGTTCCTTCCATGTCAAAGTGTAATTCGTCAAAAATGTTTTGGCCTCAGTTTGAATAGATGAACACATATTAAACATTTTTAATGTTAAAAATAAGTTTCAAAGTGGGAAAAATGTTGGCATTTTAATGAAAATAACTTTGAACGATCAAATTTTTTTATTTAGAATAGGAATTTCACAATTTTTTTCCCTTGGAATAAGATTTTCAAAACTTAGGGAATTACAGCAAAGTGTGATTTTTAAATAAAAGGCATTTTTCTTCTGAAAAATCACTTTTTTAATCTAAGCACAAACATGTGTTTAATTCGCCTCAGGTACCATACGAATTCCCCAGCAATGTGGGTTGGTTCTCACGGTTCTGATCATCAAGAGATGGGCAATATGTTCACCGATCATCAGAGAGAGACCCCAACAGGCACCTTTCTTAGCATCCCCTCCTGAAGCCTGTGGTGTTAACTTCTGCATGGCCCTGCTTCGCTGTCCTCATTCATCGAGCAGCGTCATTGGTATCCAGAGCAGGACTTGAGACAAGCAGCCAGGGTGCCCTCACACCTTTGAATGATCTCTTGTCTTCTTTCCACCAAGTATTCCAAACCCAGCTTATTAGGAATTGAGCTTATTTTCCAGTTACTAGTCAATTCACCTCAGGGAATTTCATTGTGCGTCTTCTGTCGCAGAAGGAACTGGGAGGGTAACAGTTCTCCTTCCAATTTCTACCTAAATTCAATCACTGAAATTATGGTTTTATTTAATATCTTCCATTTTATCCCCAATTTTAAGGAAAAAAAAAAAAAGTCCCTCCATCTGGGGTGTAAACCCAGCATTTATTGCAGTTTTCCTCATGGAAAATCATTTTGCTTCCATTCGCATTGTTGGGTCTGACAAAACGCACAGCAATCCAATCTAAGTTTCGTATTGAGAAATCCAACAGCTCTTTTTCCCCCAGTGCCAAAAGGCAGCAGAGCTACGATCTTGGAACTGTAGTTTAGTGCAGAGTATTCATGAGTTGACCTGCAGTACAAACTGGTGCCAGGGCTCTTTGCAGCTGGGAGAATTACCATGCTTTCAAAATGACTCATACCCTCTGAAAAGGAGGAAGGAGGCATGTGGAGTCTGAAAGGCAAAGACAAAGCAGGTTTGAAAGACTGAGCCAGGGAACACCAGGCAAACACGTATTGAAGAGACGGGTGAATGCTGGGTTGTAATTCCATGGAAAATATGAAGTAGTTGAGGAAAGATTAATCTCTCCTGCTCCGTTATTCTTTTATGTGAAATATTGATGTTTCGTAGAGCTGCAGTGGAAAGCAAAGTGTGATCAGAGACAGGAAGGGCTGAGGATAATGGGATCTGACGCCTCTTTTCCCTGGGCTGGTGTTGCACACCTGGTCTCGATGGTAGTCCTGCCTGAAGCACGTGCAGTGTGGCTGAGGGCCAGCTGACAGGCCCACCCGTTATTTAAAACCAGCACGGTACATGCTGATCGTCCTCTTCTCATCTTCCTCGGCCGGGAAGCCCATCTTACGAGGGGTTTTGGATGAGCCTGCTCCTTGGGCTCGGGGGTGGTAGCCTGAGGAAACCTGCCTGCCAGCCTTCAGCCGGTGCCCCCTGTGCGGATAACCTGGGACCTGCTGTGCATCAGCAGCTCTGCGTATGGCAGGGCAGGTTCCTTCTCCACGGTTCGTGCTGCGCAGTGTTGCTAGCTGAGGCACTGTCTCACGTGGGCTTGTGTTGCTGTAAGGCCATTTTGTCATCTTCAGTCTTCTGGCAACTTCCCAGCTGCACCTCCGAGCTGACAGTGTGCCTTCGTGGCACGCCGAGCTTGCCCTTCATCCTTCCTGGTGGCCTCCCCTTCCTGGACCTTTGCCAACGAGGTCCTTGACTAAACTGACAACACGCATTGCCTCACTTCTGCCTTAACTACCTTTCCCACTTCCCCTTCTTGCTTCTCACAGCCTGAGCTCTCCATGCTGCAGCTCCGTGCCCACAATTCCACCAGTGAGGCTGAGCACATCTGCACAGCAGGCACATACATGAGCGTATACAGCACATACGTGTTGTGCTGCTCTGCTTCCCCCGTCTGCTGTCGTTCCTCCACACTCTGCTGGAGTCAAACTGTCACTCAGCCTAACCTTGTCCCTCCTGGTTTCCTTTCCCTTAGCCACCTCCTTCTCCTGCTTCTTTCCTCCCAGGTAATCCCACGGAACAGCTGTCTGTGGCAGGGTTTGCCTGAACGAAGGGAAAGCAAGCCTGGCTGCTTTGTGCTCTGCGCAGGAGAGGCAGATTCCAAGCAGGCAATGCAAATTCCCGGTGTTTAGCCACAAGCTCTAGTCTAGGTTCCTCACACTTTCATTCTACGCGACTTTGATCATTGTCTGCAGCGTCCTGTGACACGAGCTGGGTGCTGACAGGCCCGGTGACTGCCCATGCCCTGCAGAGAGCAGGGGGAGGGCTGCCAGCGCCCTGAGGGTGTTGGGGAGGGCTGCTGTGCCAGGCTGCCAGCGGCTGGGGGTCTTGCGGCCAGACAGACTTCAGCTGGGAAAGGTCACAGTGGGAGAGGCAGGGAGAAGGAAAGGGAGGACGAATAGAGGTGTCCTGAATTGCTTCATCAGATTAGCAGGATGGCAGGAAAGTTTTTCCTGTTGTGCTTCATGCCATACCAGTTCTAGAAATAGAAATAGAAATAGGTCACTGTTTTTCAGGGCTTTCAGTCTGGCATCCTCAAATACAGTCAGTTCTGCTACACCACTTTCCCAGAAGGGGGGATCCCTGGATGGTGGAAGAGGCCTGCTGTGATTAACATGGGTACCCTGTGGTGAAGAGCGAGCCAGAGTGCCCTAGTTGTGCACAAAACCCTCTCAACTATCCAAAATCCTAAGATTTTGGAACACTTAGGAAACAAGGGCTTTTTACAAGAGGAGGGAGTATTCCATACCTCTTTGGATTCAGGTAATGGAAGCCTTGTGGTGTATCTCGCCTTGTTTCCATGTGGGCACTGCATTGCCGTGCCATTCTGCTGCTGCACGGCAGTTTGATGGTGGGGCTGGGCATGACCCAGCGTTGAAGCTGACCAGCCTTGGGTCGTTGGTCTCTCACCACAGAAACTGCGGATGTCAAGCCAAAGTGCAGTAGAATTAATTTAACCAGAAACAGCCCTATAAAATCACACCAGACCAATCCTTCCAGGTGTTTCTACAAACAGAATTTGGAATTTGTGTCCCTACGATGCCAGTTCAAGGAATAACCTACTCTTGTGCCTGTGCACCGGTACGTGATACCCACCGAACTCATGCACATGGGACACTTGGCATTGTCTCCTGTCTGCATTCAGAAATGTGTAAACGACATGCTGAAGCCCATTTCTGTGATGTGTACACATGATTAAAGAGCACTTTGGACAGTTACGATGTATCACCATTAAGTGTCGGTGCCTACATGGCTGGTTGCAGTTACAGGTTTAATGTTTGATCTTGGTTTTTAAACACTGATTTATCTTTTTTTGAAAACTCTTGCAACTGCGTGTCAATTGACCACCTTTAGAAAATACGTATGCCCATTTTAGAAGTAATTTTAAACTTCAGGTTTCTTTTATTTGCAGGTGCCAGGGCAAGATCTGCACTTTACTGAGCAGTGCCAGGAAAGGGTTTGACAGCTAGAATGACCTGCTGCTCAGCATTTAATGACCTGGAATCACATACAACCCCCAGCACTTCCCCAGTATTCATTGTGGGCCTAAATGACAACGTTGGAGACTTCAGAGTAAGATGAGCAGGATGAGCAGCAGAAGAGTTACCCTTGTGAGCGTGACCCCATGTTGATCCCACCAGACTGACTCTTCACAAGTCAGTGGTTTGCTGCGTGAGAAGCTCAGAAAAGCAGGAGTCTTGTCGCCTTTTGAGAAACCCCACAGATCCTTGCCTAACACAGAAGACAACATGAATGTACAAAATGTGTTTAAAACCCAGGGAGGTATTTCCTGCCTACGGGATTTGTCAGGGAATGGTGGGGACCTACTTCACTTCAACAGAATGGTCAATGTCGGTGCTGTAAAAGCAGAGAAGTACTGCAGCAGCAGGGTGTGCTCCTGCCCTGCACGTGCACTCACAGGTCACACAGACAACCGTTTCCTTGACATGGAAGATGCTGTATCTGGTCAGCCTCTGGCAGATGTCCAGGACTGTGAAAAGACTGGGCTTAGTACATCTCTAACCACGAATACCCTGTTGGGTGAGCAGGGAGGTACTCCTGTTGTAAATCACAATTATTTCATAAAAGGTGATGCTGAAATTTCTGCCACTGTCCTGGAGATTAATGCAGAGATGATTCCAAGTGTGAGCGATGACTTTTATGATCACAGCCTGGAGTATTTTGAATGTTCAGATGTGCTGACAGAGCACGAAAATGAAATCTGGAAAGAGAAATTACAGTTTTTATTAGAAAGTGATGATGAAGATAATTTAAAACTGAGTAAGGATTGTGATGGGTGTGCTTACTTCCTCAGTGAAATGCCTTGTCTGTTCCAAGTGTCAGATAACACTACGCCTATGGATACCACCATTGGCTTCTGTGGTCATCACTCAAAATTCAAAGGAGTAAATGTAAGGAGAGACCCCTCTATGTACAGCCAGTCACCTCTGCAGACAGAGATGACTCTCACTGTTGGACACCACCGAGATAAAAGTCCCCCTTCGAAAGACAAAGAAAAGGGAACTGCGCCTGTTACATCTGCAGCTGCGGAGAATGAGCATCCCAAGACTGCAGAAGAAAATAACGGAAGTGGCCACTCGGCTGCAAGTTTCTCAGCCGACACATCAAAAAACCAGGATAACATATGTGCCAGGGCGGACTCCTCTACGAGTGGCAGAGGTGCTGCCTTGGCAAACCAGCCTTCGGAGATGATGGCAGAAACCGGTATGGACAAGGACCTGCTGGGTGAAGGCTCGTTGCTGCTAGAGGAGGAGGGAAGAAATTTTCCAGAGGAAAATGCAAAGCATGCTGTCTGTACCTTAACAGAAAGTCTAAGAAGAAATCTTCTGAAGCTGTTAAACCCTAAAGAGCTTTGCAGATACGTAAGTAACATCGGACAATCTTTTCAGACGGCAGCAGAGGCGAGGGAATGCAGCGCTTTGCTTCCCAGTCGGGAAAGTGTCCACTCAGAAATCCCCAAGGAGACAGAAAGCTCCCAGATGCAGGGTGCTTTGTGTCCTACCGAAGAGGCAGATAATGACTGTTGCTGGGAAGGAAAAAGGACTTGGGGCCTGCCTGAGCAAAATCAGACACCAGATGAAAACGTCTCACCCAGGGTAAGTAAAGTGTTTATCGTTTAATTGAAAGAGCGGCTCTACTGAGTGGAATACATTTTAGCTGTCACACAATAATGTACAGTTTGAATTACTTTGAAAGGTACTATTCATGTGCTTCTGAATGACAGCTGCGGCTGGGAAGGAAATCTGGTTTTGAAAAAGGCCCAAATAAACCATGAGCTGATCTAATTATAGTGTGGGACTGATAACAGTAAGAGGCACTAATGGGGCCCTGGACAGCTGGGTAGGGAAATCTGATATGTAGGCTGTTGCACAGGTCTTACCAAAGTAATGTTTCTTTCAGCCCAGAAGGTTTCTCAATACCTATTGTGAGCAGAGAACGTTTTGAATTACTTGGTTTTCAGTTAATACTCAAAGATCAAAATTGTCATCCACTTACCTTGCTGGAGATCTAAACAAAATCCAAAGGGGTTTGCTCTGCATTTGTAACATGGAGGGGAATTTAGTCCAGAGGTCATGTTACAGAGGTGAATGGAGCTTTGCTTTTAAAAATAAAACAATGGAAGACTCAGATATTCCAGCTGAAATGTAAAAGCCAGTTGAGAAGAGGAAACCCAAAGTGATCCAACGCATGTTATGCTGTGGGGAGGAAAGCATCTAGGGAGGTCAGTAGAGTTGTCCAGACAGTTAGGGTGCTCCGTCAGTTTTCCTAAGTGGGATAATTGGATCAGACTTTTTATTTCACATAGCGAACACTCAAGATATATAAATATATTTGCATATTAAGTCAGGAATAACCTACTTACTGATTTGACAGTGTGTAGCCAATTGGACAGAAAAAAACAGTTATGACAAATAAACATAAGCTTTTTCCAGTTCCACATGCTGTTCTTCATCTACATTATTTAACCAAAATGCCTCCCAGTTCTGGGTAGTAGTCTGACTTGAATCTCTCCACTGGGTGTCCTAGGCAGTCAAAAATCACAGAATTCTTCTGCCTGGAAAACATCCAAAGGCTTCTCTGTGTTGTGGTTTAATCACAGAGCACAGAATGTTCTCATGATGGGGAATACCCCGCACTGACACTCACCTGCTGAGAATTTCGTGACTGTGTGTATGACCCTGGCTCGCAAGAGGCATGGTTTCATTTGTTCCCAAGGGCACCACAATATTTTCAATCCCACAACCCTCTTGGCAAAGAGCAGCTGTTACATTACAGTAAGTGCTGTGGCCAAGTTTCAGGTCTTGCTACCTGCAGTCAGTATTTCATCTCTTTGTGTCTCTATGGCCAAAACTTTATGTGAGATAAAAATTAAGTAGGAAAGAAGTGTCGGTGTGCACAGAAGGACTAGACATGGACACAACTCACACCCCTGCTTTTAAACACGCGTGAATGAAGACGAAATTTAAGTGCAGGTTCAAAGTTATGAGGTCTTGAAAAGGAGCCAAACAAAAGCATCCCCTCTGGAAACAACACAAGGAAAAGGTTTGCCATGTGCCATTCAGGAGTGGTGCTCTGCGTAGCCTTCAGCCAGCACCCTCAGCACAAGCACTGCTGTCACTCCTGGGGCGCAGGGCCCATGTCTGTGGCCTGCTGAAGGCCCGCTGGCGCTGGCAGGCTCAGAGGATTCCAAAACGCTTCACGTTGGCACTGATACCTTGGGAAGAATGGCATGTGGCATTTGTGGATTTCTGGAGCATTTGTTTTCTGCTGATTAGATCTATCATTTGTCCTGCCATTATTTTGTTTTCACTCATGTCAGAGCAGCCTCTTCCCATAAAATTGGAGAGGTACTCAGTTTGACCTTCCCAACATACATTTATTGACTTCTAGATAATTTTAAATTTTATTGTACGATAAGGAGAGAACCAGAACTGCCACAGAACTTCCAAGTCACTCAGTCCAGAAACCAAGTGTCACAATGCGGGGGGAGGGTCCGTTTCTCAGGTATGGCAAAGGGAGCAGAGAACAGCACCCAACTCGGCTTCTACTGCAAAGATCCTTGTGGTGCTCGGAGGTGCCTTAAAAAAAATGACGTGGAAAAGACTCATTTGAACTCCAACTTACTTTATTTCTTTTATCAGTCAGCAGTAAAGTGATTTAGCTGCCTTTTCTGTCCTTTGCTTTAGCACAACCTAATGCATTTGACTTTCTTTAATGTTCTGAAGGTCCCAGATGTACATGTTTATTTAGGAGATAGTTATGATGTGCTGGTCAGTTTTGTTATCAGGATGTACTGATAAGTAAAGAGAGTGCTAGTATGTCGATGGACTCCAGCTAACAACACAGAGTTTCTGCAGAGCAGAAGTGTGTTTTGTTGATATTGACACAGAGGGGGTTGTGGCTGCTCCCCAATCATACCACAACCACCTCAGACCTTATTGTTACTTGCCACCTCAAGGGGTCAGGGGTGACTAAAGACAAATTTCCCTTGCAGCTTAAAACCGACTAAAAGATGCTCATTTCTTGTTGGGAGTCTTGTTTGGATGCACGTAGCTTGGCAGGTACAGAGTGCACTCTCTGAAACTGGTCAAGACTGATACCTGTTAGGAAAGCATTTTTGTGAAACTTCAGATAGCAATGCCCAGGATGGAAGCAAAGGAGAAGGCAAGCTCCCAAAAAACTAGCCTGGGTAGATCCAGGCACGCCTCAGTTCGGGTTATGTAATAATTACGTAACTGGTGGGACATCGACTGTCAGCAAAAGGCATAGACATGACTCTTTTGGTTTATGTATTTTATATTAGCTGTTTTGAACTAGTTGGACTACATGAGTCATTGATCTTCATCTTGATCAGGTTGTATATTTCTCAGCATTTGGATGCAGATCTGAAACTTGCCAGGCTTCAGCCAGGAGTTTGGTTTCAATCCACTGGGGTGATAGCTGCAAGTCAGAACCCATTGACAGGTATTTACAAAATCAATCAGGTACATTTCAAGCTGGGACTCTCCTTCAGGCCTGTGCCAAGCAGCAGTTCTGATTGCTACTTACGTTTACTTATATTTCCTTGTTTTCTTCTTTGTAGAATCAAGATCCTAATCTCAAAATCTTTACCCAGAATTGCGAGAGACTGTGTACGGAGCCTGACATAGGAAAGGAACTTGTGAGAGTGACTTGTGAGACTGGAGGAGCCATCCATCCGGCTTCAGAAACGCTCTGCACTGAAAAGACATTGCAAGCAAAAAATGCCAAAGTACAGACCTATTCCCAGCACCGTGCTGCTTGTGAGCAGAGTGCGAGTAGTCACCAGCAAGTCTGCTGGGAACAAGGATTTCATGTTATTAGTAATGGCCACAAATCAGAGCGGGATGTTTCACCTTTTCCTTTAGGGGATGTGGACTCTGCTGTTGATAAACAGGAATGTGTATGTGCTGCTCTCTCCTCTGCAAAGCTATGTGATGAGCCAGGAGAGGGGGAGCAAAGGTGCAGTTTTGACTCACATGGCAGCAGTGACACAGATACCCTCCACAGTCTGTCATGCGCTGATTCCCTCTCTGAGGCTAATCCCAAGTCAGTCATGGAATCTGGAGAACCTGAGTGCAAAGGAGATGCTGGTATATCTGCAGTGCATGACAAGCTGTGGAAACTTCTTCACGAAGATGACTCAGATGACCAAATCCCGTGTGAAACCCGGGGTATCACAAGTTTAGAAATTGGGCCAACAGACACCAAAGTCACAGAACTGAACTTTGTGCAGGAGACCTGTTCTGGTCACCCTTTGCCAGTACATTTGATGGAAGAACTGGAACCTGAGACACAGCCAACTAGGGCTCAAAGAACAGAAGAAGAAGACTGCAGTGCTTCTAATATCCTCCTTAAAACAGATGAGGCATGTAAGAGTGTATCCACAGAAAACATTTGTCTTGCACAAGTGGTAGAAACAGATGGTGTATGTCTAGATTCTAGCACCAGGAATAAAATGGAAACACCACCCATTTGTGTTTCAGCAGACAGTGTCATCTTAAGCACAGGCGAGTGCTTGGAGCAGGACCCAAACGCAACGTTAACAGGCAGTGATGCATCCATTCAGGTGGCTGTTGCTTGGGAAGGAAAGCTTGCCTTTAACAACACTTCCCAAACTTCTGATGCTGATGCTCCTCAAAGATTACGAAATGCTCAGAGTGGTCATTTAGCATGTGACAAAGAAAGCCCAGCTTACCTGTCAGCAAAGTCACACGTGACATTTGGACGGTTACTGCATACTGCGCACCATGTACCCTTGATAGATGGGTCTGTAACTGGCAACGGGAGGTACCTCAGAGACGCTTACCCAGCAAGAAAAGGACTGGCTTGTTTCCCTGAAGAGAAAGACATTCTCCCCAGTGAAAATACCCTTCAGTTCACACATGGAGAACACTTTTCTGTTAACACCATACACAAAAGCTATGAAGGGAATTTACAGGAAAAAGGAAATCACTCAGACTTGAGTGCCCCAAATGACACTAATTCTGACAGCTACAGTCTGTCAAAAAATGATGACTGTCAAGAATTTCAAGTTGTTTGTGATGCACTGAAATGCAGTTCCCAAATTCAATCACCTGATTTAATTAAGGCTTCTGAAACCGTAACATGTAAGAGTCTACCCCGAAATGCAGGCCAACTGACAGAAATGGAAAATCAAGAGGTGGCATTCATCCCCTCTTCTGAGGATACACTTCTAAGAGATCTTTATGTAGAAATGCCCAGATACAAACGATGCAAATCAGGAGAACAGAGAGTGAGCTGCATAGGTGATGAACAAAGGGCTGACACTTCCTGTGAGTCAGGAGTTAGTCATGGTTCAGGGAGTGAGGCTGCACTTTCCCCTCATCATGCATCAGAACATGCATGTTTTACTGACAGCCCCTTCAACTCTGGTGAGGACTTAAAAGCGGATTCTTCCAAAAAGCACACCTATGCCTCTGGAAGTGTAACGTCACCTAGTTCCCTGCTGCCCAGAAAGGCTGAAAATGAGTCCCACATCATGGCACGTGAGGGCTGTGGAGGCAGGGGTCACAGGCTGGGCATCCAGGAGCTGGATGGGAAGGAGCCGGTACCATTCATCACACCTGTGAGCCAGGCAGAGCAGCTCCTTACCCACGTGTCAGCAGTGGGCTGTCCTGGCACGGGAGGTGATGGAAAAATGCAATCCACACAAACTTCAGTCAGAGCAGGTGAAAATGAGAGTAGGGTGGGAACTTCCTGCAAGGCACTGCAGGATCAGTGCCACAGGGGACTGGGAGAAAACGAGGAGGAAGCAGTCGTGTGTGAAAATAAACGAGCAATGCAAAGAACTGTGGAATGTAACCTGGGTGAAGCTGAAGCGAAGTCTCCTTCTCACACCTCTGTGGGCTGCGAGGCTCGAGGACGGGCTGTGAATACTGGCACTAAGCAGCCTGCTCCTGGCTTGGTCTCTGCCAGTAAGCTTCCTGAGGTTGATCATCCAATTATGTCTACTGCGTATGATAACGATGAAGTTATGACATCAGAGAGTGCAAGAAGTCGTTTGGTTAATTTGCCACCAGTTGATTCAGGGAACAACCAGTATTTTCAAGAGAAGCCACCCTGCAGCAGAACTCAGCCATTCTCCTTAGCGCTGGCCACACGTGAACCATTCCCCATCACTGCGGACAGGCCAAGCAGTCAGGAAGGGTCCGAATCCACCCAGACGTCCCCCGTTGCTGAGCCTGAGCCCATCAGATGCAAACAGCACACAGCGAAGAGCGGGCAGATCGCTGCTGGAGCTAAGAAGAAATTGCCACCAGCAATGCTGTCAAAAAAGCCGCGGCTGGAGGAGAGTAGCGATGCTGGCAGGGATCCTAGCTGTAGTAACACGGCTGTGAAGGGTGAGGTGGGCATGACTCATAAAGAGGATAGAAAAGAACAAAGGAAACTAATTCTGAAAAAGGATAGCAAAGGTAAGAGAAACCTGGTTTTCATTTCTGTCCTTTCCCATGGGTCTGGCTGCAGTACGAAATTCAAATTCGTTCAATGTGCCGCAAGCCTGTTTGGGCCACATCACGTCAGCTAGAGCTGTCCTGCCCTCACCGATTATAGTTTCCAGCTCTGTGAACTCAGTAGCTACTGCCGTCCAATGACAGAGAGTGGAGCCCTCCCTGGCAGCCTTTTCCTAGCTGCAAAATGTACCACACCAGTGTCCTTCTCAACCTGTTTGAAATAGGTACCTCTCCCTTTGTCTGCTGGAGTGACTTTTCAGGGACATGCAGCAGTGGTACCACACAGCTACACAGGGCACAGCAGCTGAAAGTCCAGGATTTGCTGGTTGTTACGTTCCCGCAGGGCTGCGTTCCCCATTAGCCTCCTACGCTGTGGCTCCCAAACACAGTTAACTCCTTGGCTACCAGATGGTTTTGTCACTGTCATTACTGGGGTGCCACTGGCAAACATCATGTTTTAGGGTACTACTGACAAATGTTTTGCAGGCCCGTCCGGTGGCCGGTGGCTAGTCGTGCATTCCGTTTCACCACTGTTGGTCATGAAAGCCTCTGATTAACTCAGCAATACTAAGCTGACACAGAAAACACATAAATGAGATTCAGGTTCCTGTCAGAGTCTCTAGGAGGTTGCTGACATGTAAACCACGATGCAGACAGGAGTAGCAATAGCGTACCGCTAGACAGACGAGGTATTTGTAGTTTCTGTGAATACTTTGTGAGGACCAATGTCTTATTTTCACCTCTTGACATTTACATTTATGTTCACATCATAAAATAATTTAATAGATTGGAGCAAGACTGAACAGTGACTAAACTATGAAGCTCTTCAGAGATTGTAGTTACAGTGGGTCTGGTGAGAGTTCTACTTTTCCAATCACATTTTTAAAATACCCAAACTTTTCTCCTTTCAAAGATGTCCTTGCATGGTTTAACTCCAACCAGCAAAACGCCACAAAGATGCTCTGACATCCCCCCTCCCCTCCTTCAGTGGTGGGGGAGAGTCGGGGAAAAAAGGCAAGGAAGTGTGCTGGATTCAGCCAGGAA